ATTCGATAATTATTCCATTCGAACCCAGCAAATTCGTAGACCAGAAAGCATCCCGCCAGCATCAGGAAAGGAATAATCCCAAATCGATTTCAATATCACCCAGCGGTAAACCTTCTTCCACTTGCGTCCTGTGTTTATCGTTGTACACACACTGATGACAACGACGACATCCTGGAGATTAATTTGAGAGATAAATTTTCAATTTCGTGTTCATTCATAACTTTATTCGCATGCTATGCATATTCATAGGTCTGCCTCGAAGCGCACCTTTTATCCCCAGCCATCCAGGAACCATCTGACAAGCGTTTCAAAATGACTAAATCTCATGGAGCGAATTGTGGAACCGATTCACCTCGGGGTGCTCGGATATAAATGACGTAACGACCATCCACTGAAGTAACAGCAAGCACTGACTGCAAATGACTATTTTATCGTTGGGAGTCCAAGTTGGGACAAGCTTTCAGCGACAGTCATATTGCAAGTAGGTATATTAAATGGACATATGTATTTTAGACAAACTTCCCCGAGCTTCCCGCTATGACATATCCGAGTGGATTGGCGGGAATTCAATATAATGAAATAATGAAATGCCACCAGCATTATTGATACCGGTCAATAAGTTGAAATCGTAATTCATATTCATAGATTATCTACCACAAGCGAATATCAACAAATAATGATGACCACTTCTAGTCACTACTACCGACAGGCACGGATCGATAGACGATTACAACAAATCGAAAAGTTTGCAATTGTTGGATTTATTGGCTGTTTATATGCTTGTGCAGCCCAAAATAATAGATTGCGAAATTGATAACTACTGTTAAAAGTTAACAGTAATTGATTGGCACATTCCGATTTCAATGAACTGACGCGCATTAAAATGTATATCAGCAAATGATGTAAGGAAAAATGAGTGGTTGATACAATTTGGTTTACGTAAAAATAACATGCCTGTAGATTTGAAGACATACTTCAAATCTCCTCGTACATCGTACGAATTAGGCAAAGAAGTGTGCTCTTGACTTGTACTGTACTTGTAGCCCTTCGCTCATTTTCAACTTCTATTCAATTTGCATACTGCCGTACTCTAACGGGATTATCTACCTACCCTCTTCTAAAGATCATTATCTAGGTAATAAATTTTCACACTAAAGCTTCATGTTAGATAACATTTCCAACCAACTCTGTAAATCGCAAACTTCGCGTATGAAGTGACATAAAAACACTATGAATGTAACAACTCAAGGCGGGAGTAACCGTCAACAATGCTGATGATAGTACAGCATGCAACAACCACCCTACTGCTTTCTCTCTTAGATGACTAAGTTGCATATTAAATAAATTGACAAATCAGATCACAGAGTGTCGGTGAAAGGAATTGAAAACCAAAATGAGGATTCGTATCAACTCGAAAATCGACGTTACTTTCATCGAAAGGGGTAAGCAAATCAAAGGCGAGCGAATTCACAAGCAGCCTTGCGTTCTAGGCATGCTTCTTTTTCATTTTGGTTTCGGCTGGCTAGGCTTTATAGAAATGATGCGTTAAACACGTTGCATGAAAGAAAACTAAGCTCGAGATCAATTTAGAGCTTCAAAAATGTTGCGCCCTGAAAATCCACATATTTTTTTCCGAACTGGTGTTTTTGACCCCAACATCACCTTCATATTTGCCAAAAATTCTCAATCGGCCTATTGAGTGGGTTGACATCTACCGGTTCTACTCTTTATTATCCTTATTTTAAGAAAAAAAAATAACATTTTCCATTTGTTTCGCTAATAGGCTAATATTTTAACATAATATTGTGGCGTTTAAAAGCAAATGATTAAGAATTACTCTGATTCTTGTGCCATACAAGTGTCCTTATATTATTTTCCACCAGTGTATTTATTTATTTGTTTATTTGTTATGCTTGCATCAACAGACTAGAAATAGTCCCAATGATATGTTGTAAAAAAGTACAGATTATACAGACTACATATTCTACAGTTACTAACGAAAATAACAAGGAAAGCATTGTCAAGTTACTAAAAATGTATAAATCTAAAATTTTACACTTAGCTGTTGGGCGTCAAGCGCCTTCGGGCAGCAAAAAAGGCAGAGAATCATCGGCGAAGCATATTCCATGACGCTACTCGGTTGAACACTTGCTGCAAGCCGTAAATAGCGCTCCCTATGCTATAATTAGTTCGAAGAAGTGGAAGTCTTAGCATAAGACTGTTGCGTAGTGATTGAGGTTGAACATTAATGTTTACTTGTTGCAGAATTGCTTCGCAGTCGATTCTTCTTTGCAGAGTATCGGCGACGGTTAAGGCTCTGAAAACATCTCTTCGGATACGTAAGGGCTCGACATTCATCAATTGGCAGCGATTCTCGTAGCTTGGAAGACGAAGTGGGTACCTCCAAGGCGGCTTACAAAGCGCGAAACGAAGAAAACGTCGTTGCACAGATTCAATTCGCTCGGCCCCATTATTGTAGTTCGGGCACCAGACTGCAGAGCAGTATTCCAATGTAGATCGTACGAGAGAGCAATAGAGCGATTTCAAGCAGTAAATGTCTGTGTAGTTCTTAGTAATCTTGAAGACAAACCCAAGAGTTCTGAACGCTTTGTCGACGACATACGATATATGGTGTGAGTATGTCAGCTTTGAGTCCAGAAAAAACGCCTAAGTCTTTCACGCAATGCACCCATTCGATAGTCGTGCCTAGTAGTTTGTAGTATTAAAGTATTAAATCAGCGAACTTGCACGAGAGCCACGGTAAATGCTGAATGCAAAATTTTCAAAACAGAATTCGAAACGATTTTCGGTGCTTCAAAAAGTTGGTCTGCATAGTTTTCTCAATCTTAGTCTCAGTTAAGAGCAAATGATCGAAGGGCGTAAAACACTGCAAAATAAACGGATTTAATAACACAAAATTCAATGGAATTTTATGTATCTTCTGGACTATGATGAAAGTTGACCAATCTATCACTCAGATGTCATGTAATGTAATGTTTACATAATGTTACACCTCAAACCATTGAGTAACACGAGCAGATGAAACATTCCAATTGAATGCAATCAACCGAAGCATTCAATTTGGGTGAAACTGTACTGACTTCTATGTTGCCAACATATTAGCCTTGTTGCCTCCTGTTGTGTAACACTGCCGAAGGTTTCGGATACAACAAGAAAAGCCTTGATCTACAAGCGTGAAATATGGAAGGTAAATGGATTATTATGTATTTACTTTTCATGCCTTCAGCTTCTCAAATGTTTTATCCCATCCGTGCTTCATTTTGCTCGCACTCCGTTCCAAATAAAAATAATACGGCACAGAGCGTAAGTGTGTAAATAAAGGTATACACTATAGAAGGAAAGCTGTACCAACATCACGGACATGTGTTCTCTCTGTGATAATCACCAACTGTGCTAAATACTGCAAACATTGAACCTGATATAGTTGACTACCAGCCCTTATGTAATCGTGTGATCTTGAAATGTTGAAGTAGGTATGTCTGCTGCACTGCTGGAGAATACGTGTACTCAGACATACTTTTGATTTGAATCATCATCTATAGAAGCGAAGATTCTAACCATGGAGTTTACGCACCAAAACAGTACGTGACCATTTTGTAATTGCTGTTCATGCATGAAGAAAGTAATCTGATTGGAGAGCCAGTTATTCGAATCTCAAGATGGAGTAAACCCAAGCAACCAAAAGTTCGACATTCCATGATAAAACCCACTTTCAAGTTCCATAAAGTTCAAATAAAGTTCCGACAGAACCTTCAAGTTCCATAAAGTTCGAATAAAGTTCTGACAGAACTTTCAAGTTTCATAAAGTTCAAATAAAGTTCCAACAGAACTTTCAAGTTCCATTAAGTTCAAATAAAGTTCCGACAGAACTTTCAAGTTCCATAAAGTTCGAGTGAAGTTCTGACAGAACTTTCAAGTTTCATAAAGTTCAAATAAAGTTCCAACAGAACTTTCAAGTCCCATAAAGTTCAAATAAAGTTCCAACAGAACTTTATTGCTGCGAAAGGATCTAAAGGATTCACAGGAGCAGCTTCAGGGTCCAAAAAGTACCCATTCATACTTTTAGCATTTTGAAGTTCAAAATAAATTCCTAAGATCACTTCTTAAGATCTCTAGACAAAGCTGCAAACATTCCCGCATCAAAGTTTCTAAGAAGTTCCATGGTAGCCCACATGAAACAATTCGCACAAGCCTTTGTTTGTAACAGTTTTTTATGTACATAATTCTAAAAGGTTCATGTAAAGCATTCTCCTTATATTTATGCAATGCATCAATATTCAATCCGAATATAAAAAAAAATTAATAGAGAAATTTTTGTATTTGAACCTATGTATTTCGCGTGCGAGCTACGAGCGCTAACCACTGCGCCACGAGTGTCTTGAAATAAGAAGCGAGAAAACTCCAATTTGAAATTCATCGAGGTGTTGAGTTGCATGCTCAAGTCAGTCAGCCGACATCACTGATGGTACCTATTAGAGAGGGTCTAATATAAAAGAGAAGCGGATTCAACACAAACTGCCTTGGCAACCTATACCTAGGGGATTTCTAGCAACACTGTCAATGCAATCAAGATAGGCGCTGCTCGATTGGCTCTGGTTTTGACAGTTCGTTTGACTCACAACCAGCCAGACCCCTCCCCTCTTATACTAGACCCTCTCTAGTATCTAAAGTTACGTAAGAACCGGAGTGATTTAAGATAGAAGCGTAACTGTGCTTGTAAACAATAAATACGATCGCTAATTCCTCGCAAATAAAATCTTACAGTTCCAACCTAAAACGACAAACAGGTAAGGAAATTAATATCAGCTGGTAGTGATACATTTTGTTTGCGAGTGTGAACTTTTATTCACGAGAAATGTGCGATTTATTTTTTTGTTTACAATAACAGATGCGTCCTTTTCAAAAACAACTTAGGATATACCTGTCACGATCAAAACATCGGATCTTATATTTTTCAGTAAGCATCTGTGATTCCAACATAAAATGGATTTTTCAAAGAAAATAAAAAAAAACGGCCTTTTTTATTACCGTCGTAAAAAGATTCTTGAGAGATGGACCAAGGAAAACCGATTATTTCAGTCAGGTAAGTTAACTCTAGGTTAAATCTTGAAAAGGATAACTATATCCATTGTTTTTATAGAGCTTTGCAACATCAACCAACAACCATCGTCTACTGTGAAGGAGATAACTCCATCGGAAGGTAGGGATGTGGATGAAATTATAGACACTGAATGTACCGGTACACAGGAACCTGATCCCTATGAAAATTTCAACAAAAATGAACCCACAACGAACATTGCAGAGGTCGATTTAGCTATCTCTGGGCTAAATGGTGACCTCCTATCTACAGACGAACTTGATTCAATGAGTCTTGAAGAGAGCATCCGCTTTTGGGCTTTAAAAACAAATCAATCCCATCAATCAATCAATTTGATTATGGACATCATACGGAAAAAGACGGATGGGAAGCAATTGCCACGTTCCGCTCGATCATTGCTGAAAACTGCACGAAATGCTTCATCAAATATCGTAGACATTGGAGGTGGTCAATATTGGTATTATGGGATTAAAAAATGCCTTGCAGATTTTTTTCGGTAAGTAAAATTAAATGTTCGTTATTATTTTGATTATTATGATAATTTCATTATTATTTATTATTTTTTCCAGCAACATTGATCACCCCATTACCATTTCAATCAACGTGAACATCGATGGAATTCCTATTTACAAAAGCAGCAAAGCTCAGTTTTGGCCAATACTATTCAACATATTTGAACACCCGGAAGTTAAGCCAATGACCATTGCCATATTCCTTGGAACTTCAAAACCTGAAAGCCTGGACGAATTTTTGCGACCATTTGTTAACGAGCTAAAATATGTGTTAAACCATGGAGTTATTTTGAATGGTCACAAAATTAGTATTCGAATGAGATGCTTCATATGTGATTCACCTGCACGTGCCTTCATAAAAGGTATATCAGAAGTTATCATTTCATTATGGTCATGTCTAATAAAAATGTTTAACATTTTTTAGGAGTATATGGCTTTAATTCAAAAAACGGATGCCTAAAGTGCGTATGTGAAGGCGAATATTCCTATGAATCTCGCACTGTAATATTTACATCATTAAATTGCGCCAAACGAACTGACCAAGAGTTCCGAATGAATTCCTATAGTCGTCATCAAAAAACTGCAACGCCTCTGATTGATATCCCTAATCTGGATTTAATTCAAAACATTATCGTGGCTGATAGACTTCATCTCATTGATTTGGGCGTAATGAAACGATTATTGATTGGATGGAGGGATGGCAGCCTTGGATTCGCAGCTAAATTATCGTCTCTACAAATTAATGACATGTCTGCCATGCTTTGTAATATTCAGCTTCCATCTGAAATTCATCGCAAGTTCAGAGGCTTGGACTATCTTGCCCACTGGAAAGGAACTGAATTTAATAATTTCTTGCATTATGCCAGCATAGTTGTGTTAAAAAAACATCTTTCCTCGGAGGCTTATCAACATTTCCTTTTATTTTATTGCTCCATAACGATGCTCTCATCAGATTTATACAAATCAAACTGGCACGTAGCTAGAAAAATGTTGGAAAAGTTTATAATTGATTTCATGACGATCTACGGGCAACAGTATATCACGAGTAACATTCATAACCTTCAACATATTGTAGATGAGGTAGAGGCGTTCGGCTCATTAAGTACGATGGCAGCATATCCCTTTGAAAATGGTTTACAACGGCTGAAGCATTTGATACGCAGTGGATCTAAGACTTTGGAACAAGTAATAAATCGACTATCGGAATTAAATTCACATGATTATTACAAGACACATCAATCTTCAAAAAAATATCCTTCTATTACCATCTGCGGAGAATCTGTCCGCGCTGAATTAGAGGAATGGTTCGTTCTAAGCACGTCTCACAGGAATGCTTGGTTTCTGACTAAAACCAATCAAGTAGTACGGTTTGTCAACGCAATTCAAACTCCAACCCTAATTATTTACGGCAAAGTTGTGATAAGAAACAGAATTTTTTTTCAAGACCCTTTTACCTCATCTGTGTTACACATATTCTGTGGTAATATCAATAATTTGTCCGCGAATGAGTTCCTTTTTAGTTATGACGAAATCAAGTGCAAGTTAGTTGCAGTTCAAAGTGGCGATGAATTTGTATTTATACCTCTCCTACACACTCTAAAATAGAACAGATTGAACAAGTTTTGTTAACAATAAATCATATGTCATTTTTTTACTGTGTTTCATTGAATATTAAAATATTGAGCAAAAATCAGTACAGCATATCAGTATGAAATCAGCGTATTCCATTCAAATCGGAATTTCAATCAGATACGTCGGATATGTTGTCGTCTGATAAGTCATATTCTTCTAAAACGATGCTTTCATACGAAGAAACGTCCTTGGTGGAGGACATGTCGCTTGATGATACTGAGTCCATATCCTTTTCAGTGGAAGGTGCTTCATCGATAAATGTTGATGGTTCATGGGGTTCGGAGTTTTCTGTGGTCATGTGTTGGTGAACTTGAATTTCATTCGTATCTTGGATACAGTTCGCTTGAAGAGTATCATCTGAGTTTTGGTTGGCAGCTTGTCCTTTCATGTTATCCACGGTTTGTTCATCGCTCCTGTAGTCTGCTTTTCCTCGTTTAGTGTTCCTTTTTTTGACAACATGGCGTGAACTCCGACGTATTCCAGCAGATTGTAATCTTTTAGTAGCATTTTTCAACTTTTTCTTAAAAAAATTGGCCAATTTGTGCTGTGTGACAATTTCCGTTTCATCAGTTCCAATGTCCACAAAAACCTTCAGAAATCTTCGATGAATCATTACTGCAATTTTAGGACCCTTACGACTTGAGCCAGTCCAAGTGCACTGCACCTGGAACTCTTTGGTCATTATCAAATCCAGTAAACAAATCATACGGTCATCAGCACAATCGCCACTTACGTTCACGCGAAGCCATTTCATCTACAATTAGTAAAATTGAAAAAATTAAACTAGGATAATAGAACGACCAATGCAAATACTTACCAGATTTGATCTATATGACTCATTTTCAAGGCTTTTCTCAAAATCTTCAAATTTTCGGTAATCATTAATAGGTTCCAAGTTAAACGATAGGCCTGCTTCTGCTGATCCATCTTGACCATTACGACATCTTATGGCATCCATAATAAACTCCATTTGCGTTGACTGGTGGGCCAATCTTTTTTCCAGAGATGAAATTCGAACATCAATTATGGCGTCGGATTTTCGTTGCATGTCAATGAGCTGTTTCAAATAGTCCACACATTGTTCAATAGAGTTTTCAGATGCCGATTGCGGATTGCCAGGTTCAGGAAAATCTCTGTTGTTCTGATCAAATTCAAAGTAGGGCTGATTGAAATTAGGTGTCACTGGTACTAGTATTGGCTGAAGAGGCGTTGTTGGATCAGCTGTAGCGGTCATGTTAGGTTGTGATGCGGAATATTGATCTTGATTATGGCTTGTCGGTTTTGAAAGGTGGGATGCAGGAGTTGTTACGTTCGCAAAAAGCACTTTTTTGGACGTATTCTTCGGGCAGGATTGAAATCGTGGAGGAGACCCAGCTGTTTTCATTATAGGCGCATTTTGATTATTAGATAGTGGTGCATTTGTAGAGTTGGGTGGAACATCGTGGAATGGTGTGATTGTGATTTGTGGAGATGGCTCAACTGAGGGCAAATTCAGCATACTTTGAAAGTTTGCCGGCGCTGTTTTGTTATTTTTTTTTCTTTTCCGAGGGACCATGCTGACATCCGAAGAAGAGCAACCTGACATCTCATCGATTACCAGAGCAGCTTGAGCATATGATGGCATGTTTTTGCGTTTAATTCGGCATTTAAATTTTAACCAGGATTTTCCTGGTGTAGAATTTTCATCACGTAGCAATGTCGCCTGTTCGGTACTGGACTTGACGTTTGGCCACAACAAAATATCTCCTTGAATGGATTTATCCAGCCATTTTTCGGGAACAGCCGAGAGTTCCTTTCTCCCTCCTGCGCTGAGAGTTTGAACGATGGCAAATGGCATACCTATTAGGAAAGAGCAACTAATATTATTGCCAATTTTTTTACAATGAATTCTTTTATAAAGAAAGAGAGAACTACTTCTCTCTTTCTTTATGCAGGTATTCCACTAAGACGCCCACGTTAATCAGGAATCAACTCCATGTTACCTTTTGATTACTTAGCAATATGAAACGAAAACTTTTGCAGTGATTTGCTGGATCCGGTTCGACTTGTAAAGTTTATTTTTCATGAAACCTTTGGTGACATTCACTTTGTTTTCATGGTAACCAGTGTTGCTAGGTAATTTAAAGAAAGGTCTGGAAAATTAAAAACGAATAATCTCGTGTTTTGTGAAGAAAAAGAAAGATAAACATAGAACAGTTATAATAAGGGATCGTTAATCAATTATGTCACACTTTTAGGGGGGAGTGGGGGGGGGGGTTGGAAACTGTGACGAGTCATACAAAAACAGTTAAGATTCATACAAAAAATGTGACAAACGGGGGAAGGGGAGTTGAAAATGGGCCAAATTTGCGTGACATAATTAATGGAGTTTCCCTAATATCAATCGTCAACAATGAATTTAAAAATGGAAATTGACATTTTGTTGATGCATGACCAAGCAAATATTTTTAACAATAGAAAAATTAGTTTATTTGCAAACAAGGAAATTCTGTTTTCTATCAAGCGATGACGGCAGTAACAATACGCGATATTTTCAGTGTCATTTTAATCATAATACAAATTGTTTGCTATGAATCTACTACGGTATGCTTTTAAAAAATAAAAAATAAATGAAATCTAATGCCATTTACTATTTACTGATGACAAGAATTTAACAATCATTTAGATAAATCTGGTAATATGGCATCCCTGATGGTAACAAGCCCTGAACACTTCAACAGTAGCTGAAACCACAGCCTATTTTTATATATTTCAGATGCCGTAGCGGTTCGTGCTGAAGCTTTCACGCAGGAGGACTGGGTTCAATTCTTCAAGCAGCTCTAATAATATAACATGATCATAAATAATACACTAAATTTACAAAAACATTCATAAATAGTGCAACATATAAGTATGAGAAGATAAGAATATGAGAATTTGATCTGTGCAATAGAGGGCACATTTTTTTTCCAAAAAGTGCCGCACAAGTTCCGCCAGAAGCTGCTTAGAATGCTATGCGATGATGAAACGGGAACTTTCAAGTTCATATAACGACTTAAAAATGAAGCTGCTTAGAATGCTATATATCGACTTCAACCTAGCTGCTTAAGCCATAAAAGGCCATGTTATCCGAACTTTTGGTTACTTGGGAAAAGTCGAGTAAGGAAAATGTTGGTTTTGAGATTTTTAAAGTTAGTAGAATGTTTGCGACTGACTTTCCATGAATAAATAAAACTTTAAAAATTTGATGATGTTTTCGATTATTTACAGCTGTATTTTGAGATAAAAATTTATGATTTTCGCTTGATGTGCTGGTCATACTTACTTATTACGGTATCGTATACTTAATGGCCTTAACAACTTCTATCAGTCTATCATTAAGCTGGAGTTTGGTTTAATCCTTAAACCTTTTTTTTTTTTTTTTGTAAGGCAAGAATAACAGTCACAGTTGAACAAAATAGTTTCTAATAAGATCAAATTTGTTGGCCATCATATCCACCTTCACGATACACACACTTTTTCAACCGGCTTTCCCAAACACTACAACACTACACAGAAAAAAATCCTGTATTTTAACTATCGCGTAAAATCTCCCCTCGTTGAATTTTGAGCTATAGTTGAAATAAACAACGAAATCATTTACAAGCTTGCATTCAATATTGCTTATTTATGTGATATTGCGCTTAAATTTACAAGAAATATCGTGTAAATTTACGCCAACTTTATGTGCGCTCTATATCGCAGAAATTTTAATGAATTTTTCAAACGGTGTAGGGGAAATAAACAGGGCAGAGCTAATATTCAATATATATGACTAAGGCAATCAATTCCATCCCGTTCTCTTGTCGAACGCCCACTTCTCCCGGCCTATTGTGTGTTTTCCCATCCAACCCCCAGGGCACTCGCTGAGATGCATACAAAACCATGATGACAGTCGCACATTCAATCCAAAAAAAGGAATGATCCAAAACCGAGGGGTGGGAACCTCGTGAGCACACAGCATGAGAGCAGTATAATATTAAGTTCAAGAATTCTTATTACTGCTTTTGTCATTGAAACCGAGGCGAAAGAGGCACTCGACAAACGTAGAGTGTAAAAATTGCAAATATCCGCCATATTTATTTCAAACAAAGCCGAAAGTCCCCTCCTAGAGCAGCACAAGTATCATTTGGCCACCGGATTCAATCGGAGACGGATATTGCTTGCTTTACCGCTGCAGTGCAATTCCTGGACCGCCATATATAGATTCGCTTCACTCCTCATCTGTTTTCGCCGTCAGGAGGGTTGCTGGGAGAGGGAAATAAGAGGATAAGAAAAAAATGATAAAGAGGGAAATGTAATGTCTGAACCGTCATTGTTCACAGTAGGTGACATTTCATAAAGCCTGAAGTGTATGATAAACAATTGAAACGTACGATTAATTTTTTCGTCCATGCTTTTGGGTTCTCCGCGTCATGATAGGAATGACGAAGCTAGAAATCTTTTGTTTGCTTCCCGATGACTCCTCCCTTTGCTAATTGTACCGGCTTTAGGGCTGAATTCACATTTTGGGAGTGACAGAATTGCTGTAATTATTTCCGCAAAGAAGAGAATGCTTTATAAAACATTGATTACAAAAGCAATTAGTACTGGGGCAAGAAGGTCGCCGTAACGATAATGCGTTGATATGCTCCATACCGTTAATATTTAGAGTGCACCGAATTGTAAGTGTATAACATTGACTTCGTGTATCATCAATGAATTTAAAATCATAGCACATCCCAAGTTGATTTTATGATTTGTTCTAAGTGGCATGTTATATATGCCTTTTAAAATGCTACGGGGCAAGAGTGCCACCCTTATGGGGCTTTTTCTATGTGCTAAACATGTTTGTATAATTTTATATGTAATCTATCGTGTCATAGCTTCTCTTCTGGATAGTACTGTCCTACAAGACGATATTGATACCATGCTGGTATGATGTGGCGATAACGGCATGTGGGTTAATGGTAAAATTCATATTGAATTATTCATTTCAATCCCAGCAGTACAAAAGCACAACTATATTGCAGCGAAACAATTCTTTTCTTTTTCAAGTTAGTCTACAGGGAGTTCATTGTAATAATTTGCTGGCAACCGTTCACCCTTTTGCTACCTACACGGTTCACAGGAGAATAATGTTGTACCATTGAATTGCGCCATAATTTCCGATACACTTAGAGCACAACACAACAATATCTCATGCTTTCCAGCGCCATTTCATAGAGTATCTCAAATCCGAGGTGCCACCGTTGTCAAAAATCTCGTACTTCTCCGATGGTGCGGTATCGCAATATAAAAACCGATTTAATATTATAAACCTGGTTTTCCACGAACGCGATTTTGGGGTGGCCGCAGAGTGGCACTACTTTGCTACGGCACAGGGCAAAGGACCAAGTGATGGATTGGGAGGAACTTTGAAGAGATTAGCAACGCGAGCTCGTTTACAGAGAGCCACAATTCAGACGCCAAAGGAGCTCTATGACTGGCAATGAAGAATTGCAATCTAAACGTTAGATTTGTGCCGTCTGAGATCTGTTCCGAAGACAAACGAATACTGTCACCGTTTAGCATCAGCTGCATCTATTCCCGGTAATCGTTCAATGTATGCAGTAACTCCTTCTGGTGTTGGTACAATTATTATCCAAACTGCTTCTGGTGCCACAACTTGTTCAGCTTTTAGAGTTGTAGCAACGAAACCTGCAAAGCAAGTGGATTCGAATAATGATGAGAAGAAATCATCACAAAGTGCTAGCCTATAGAAGAAAAATAACGAATTGAAATTTCTGTTTTACATTGTTTTAATAAAATGTAAGAAATAAATGTATCAGTGTTTGATACAGTATTTTATGTATTGGAAAGTCTTTATTCGTGTTTGGACATGAGAGACCAATTAATAGATGTTAAGTAAAGGGTGATACGGTCAAAATTTGGTCAAGGGAAAACGCGTGTAAATCGGTGAAATCGTTTATTTAAAAAATCAAATTAAATTTCTTTTTCAAGTTCAATTAGTATAAAATTCAGGAAAAATATTCAGTTAGGCTTCCGCTTTTCCAAATCCGAATTGCCGGGCCTTACGCTTGACCCCTGCCATCAGATTTTGTACAGCCACCTTGTCCACCTTCTTCGCCGCAGAAAGCCAGTTTGCCTTGAACTGCTGCTCGCCCTTAGCAGTTTTTTTGGTCTTCTTTAGGTTCCGCTTGACAATAGCCCAGTATTTCTCAATTGGGCGGAGCTCTGGCGTGTTGGGAGGGTTCTTGTCCTTGGGAACCACCTGCACGTTGTTGGCGGCGTACCACTCCATGGCCTTTTTACCGTAATGGCAAGATGCCAAATCCGGCCAAAACAGTACGGAACAACCGTGTTTCTTCAGGAAAGACAGCAGACGTTTATTCAAACACTCTTTCACGTAAATTTCTTGGTTGACAGTCCCGGAAGCTATGAAAATGCTGCTTTTCAAGCCACAGGTACAGATGGCTTGCCAAACCAGATATTTCTTTGCGAACTTTGACAGTTTCGTGTGCTTGAAAACATCTGCTACCTTTCCCCTTCCTTTTGCCGTATAAAACTCCTGTCCCGGAAGCTGCTTGTAGTCGGCTTTGACGTAGGTTTCGTCGTCCATTACCACGCAGTCAAACTTCGTCAGCATCGTCGTGTACAGCCTCCGGGATCGCGCTTTGGCCGTCGTATTTTGTTTATCATCGCGATTTGGAGTCACTACCTTCTTGTAAGTCGATAGTCCGGCTCGTTTTTTGGCTCGATGCACGGTTGTAGACGATACACCCAGCTTATTTGCGGCATCTCGGAGGGAGAGGTTAGGGTTTCGCTTGAAACTACCGG